ACGTGGACACTCAGCTGTCTCTCCCTGACTGCAGACGGGGTGGCCTACTGGGACACTCAGCTGTCCCTCCCTGACTGAAGACAGGGTGGCCCTGGGTGTGTCATTGCGCAGCAAGTTCACAGCCCCCCTACAGTCACCCCAACCATCCAGAGTTCTTGTGGGGTGCTGAGCTGGGAGCCAGGGAGGGAGATGCTTCGTCTCTGCAGGAGTCTCCAGACTTCAGGAATTGACAAGGCAGGAGAGGTGTTAGGCTGAAGGGAGGGGAGGGGATGGGATCAGGCGGGTGGGGTGCGGTGGGACAGCCGGGGCTGGTGTGTGGAGAGGGACTGAGGACAGTGCTCTCTTTGGCAGACCTGGGGCCTCCTTCCTGTGTGCTGGAGGCTCTGTTCCCTCCCATCCCCAGGGCTCGGTTCCATCCCTGCTGTTTCCCTGTCTCTCACCCCACAGTGTCATTGGCTTGAGCTTTGATTTTGTGGCCCTGAACCTGACGGGCTTCGTGGCCTACAGCGTGTTCAACATTGGCCTCCTTTGGGTGCCCTACATCCAGGTATGGTGTTGCGCCCCCACCACAGCCTGGCCCAAGCTATTTGACTGGACTACCCTTCACCCCCAGCTTCTCCCACCTCCCCAATAGGAGCAGTTTCTCCTCCAGCACCCCAACGGAGTGAACCCTGTGGACAGTAATGACGTCTTCTTCAGCCTGCACGCAGTCATCCTCACTCTGGTTGTCTTAGTGCAGTGCTTCCTCTATGAGGTGAGAGACAAGCCTGGCAGCTGCCCCACCGTGTACACTCCCACCAACACCCATCTCACACCTGGCGAAACTCTCCTCAGGAAGGAGAGGTGCTTGGTCACTCAGCTCATGATCACTGCAGCTAAGAACAGGCCAAGCCCTGTGTGCTGGGTGCAGGGATATGGGGGGGGGGAGGGGGGATGGCTAGTGACAACCCAGCAGACTGAAAGCCATGTGGAGGGGAGAATACAAGCAGCCCTGGAGGCCCTGACCCAACAGGGAAGACAAGTGGTGGGCCTAAGGGAAGAAGGGCCTAACTGTGCCCCGAAGGATGCGTGTCATTCCCATGGCAATGGAGAAGGCCAGGGTGAGGCACCCGCAGCTGGAGGACAGAGCTAAGGCAGGGAAGAGAGGAGGGCACTTGAGAGGCATTGTAGGCAGATAGGTATAGTCTGGGTTCAGGGATGCCAGATGGAGGGAGGGTTCCCAAAGGATCTGGAGGGCCAAGCTGAAGCTTCAGCTCAGCTGTGTTGCTGGTAGGCTGGCAGCATTTTAGTGGGGATCCCTGACGTGCACATTTGCTTTCACTTCCCCAGGACACACCACTTCCCTCAGAGAGTTCCCTTTAGACAAGTAAGGCCAGCGAGGGGATGGATACCTGGCCTCCACCTTCAAGAACTTTCTAGGTTTTCTTACCCCCTTTGTCTTAGAATGAAGGTGAAGGCCTGCTTTGGGGTAAGGCAAGTCTGGGGGCAGATTCCAGGGACCACCAGGCTCCACCTGGGTCAGAGAAGGCTGAGGCACGGGGCAGGCTTCCAGTGTATTAGGTTTCTGTCCCTAGCACGTTTGCTCCAGGTGGTTTCTGGAAAGCCAGTAGTGGAAGGAGTGTGGCCAGTTACTAACAGGTGGTGCTGAGCCCTCTGTCCCCACCCTGTCTTCCGCCCCTCCCCCTCCCCTTGTCCTCAGCGAGGTAACCAACGCGTGTCCAGGCCTGCCATCGCCTTCCTGGTGCTCTCGTGGCTCTTTGCACTCATCGCCATGATTGTGGCCGCAGTCGGGGCAACCACATGGCTGCAGTTTCTCTTCTGCTTCTCCTACATCAAGCTCGCCGTGACACTGGTCAAGTATTTTCCACAGGTACTTCCAAGGCCTGCCTGCCTGCCTGTTAACATGGTGGTTAGCATGAGGGTCTAGAGCACTAGCGCCAGGCCCTGCGCCTCTGGAGCAGCCTCTGGCTGGGTCGAGACAGGAGTGGGAAGGCCCAGTGGAAACCATAAGCCCAGCAGAGCGGGGCTGGTCAGCAAGCCTGCCCCTTCCCTGGACCAGGAATCACACAGGAAGTCAGTGGAGACTCTGGGAGTCAGGAGTTTGTTACACGGTGGGGTCCTCTCTGTCCCAGGCATTTGTATGATTTGTCCTGCTCCCAGTTTAACTGAGGTCCCAAATGAACAGCCACAACATACTCAGGAGAGATTAGCTGGGAGAAGGAAGCCCACCAAAGTCCTCAGGGGGCCCATCCCAAGGGACCCTGCGTACCTCCCTCAAGTACTCAGACCTATTCAGATCCAGGAACTTCAGCTGGGACACATCTTCCCTCATTGCCTAACTGGCCAGGCCAGGGTCAGGTGTGAAATGGCTTGTACCTGCAGAATCGCCTATAAATCATTGAATTCACTGTCAATGGAAAACCCCCTTTGCAGCTTCCCCAGCACAGGAGGCTTTGTTCCGTCCCTCAGAAAGGACAGCATTACGGTCAGAGTCCAGGCCAGTCTCCTGGAAGGCGTGAGGAACAGGACTTAACTCTGTGGGTAAAGAGGCACAAAGGCACAGACAGGTAGAAAAGCATGGGACGCAGTCAGGAGGCCTTGGTGACCGAGCAGTGTTGATGCTCAGAAGGTAGGGCCAGGTCCCAGAAGGGGGCTGGGGAAGGAGATTTTGAGGGGCAAGGTCTGGAGGGAAATAGGCCTCCATTCCTGAGCACGGGAAGGCCTGGGCATGGGCAACTTGCGAGGCAGCAGCCCCCGTTGAGATGTTTGGAATTGCCCAAGGTGAGAGGTGGCAGCCAGTACTGAAGAGGGGGAGGATAAAAGAGGGGACTCAATTGGTGGCTGATGGGGAGAAAGCCTCTACTGAGGCCACGCCCCTCCTGGCTGGAACAGGGGAAACCACCAGTCACACAGGGCACTGGTGAAGGATATGGGCCCTGGCAGCAAGGATAGTGAGATGCCCAAGAGGACCCACCCCCACCCACCTGGTAACTGAGTCTGGGGTTTCAACCAAGGGGAAGGCCCCAGAGCCCAGCCAGGACTGAGGTGGGAGTTGAGGCCACTCTGCAGATGGGGAGCCTGAAGCTAGAAGAGCTCAAGTAACTCTCCTGGGTAACATAATTCCCACGGTGGTGCTGGGATTCCCAGACGGTGCGCATAAGCACCTAGCAAGCCAGGCCGAGACTGGGGAGAATCTTCTTTGAAGGCGAGAGGAAAAATCTGAGTTGCTGGCAAACCACGAAGGGGTCTGTGCCAGCACAGGGAGGAGAGAAGATGGATGCGGCACCTCCCCCGCCCTCCACCTGACTTGTCAAGGGCTGAGATGAGGAGGGCTCAGTAGGCCTTGATGCAGATGAGACCCAGGGACCCGCCCAAACTGCTCCTTCTGCCAGGACTTGCTAGAGCCCAAAGGTCAGTGTGTTCCTTGGAGCCACGTCCTAGAACACACAAGTGGGAGGCATTAGGGCTGCTCTTGTTTGGAGTGGCGGTCACAGGGCTCCTCTCCGCCTCCTGTCTGTCTGACCCAGGCCTACATGAACTTTCACTACAAAAGCACTGAGGGCTGGAGCATTGGCAACGTGCTTCTTGACTTCACTGGGGGCAGCTTCAGCCTCCTCCAGATGTTCCTCCAGTCCTACAACAACGGTGAGTCGGCCAGCAGGCTGCCCGCCACCCCAGAGGCACAGGGTGGGAGGCAGGCTTCCTGGACACAAACACTCCCACCCACTCCATCCCCACCACAAGGGGAGATTCACCCATGAGCCTTTGCAGCTGGAGGACCTGTGGGTTCCTGGGTAGATGACCCCACCCCCAGAGCCCCACATGCTCCAGCTGCTTCAGTAACTGCCAATTCTTTCTCTCTGGCTGTGAACAGACCAGTGGACCCTGATCTTTGGGGACCCAACCAAGTTTGGACTCGGCGTCTTCTCCATCTTCTTCGATGTTGTCTTCTTCATCCAGCACTTCTGTTTGTACAGAAAAAAACCAGGGTACGAGCAAATGAACTAGTACCCAGAGATCCAGTGTAAATGGCCAGAGGCCCTGTGCGCTGGCGGGGAAGGCTGCACCAGGAAGGCTGGCGAAGCGGCCGGAGCGCAGGGCTGGCGCGGGGTGCCACCGTGGAGAAGCGCTCTCTTCCTCAGGACCTAACGCCTTAAACATATACAGGCCTGCCTTCTTCCAGGACTCTCCCTGGCCAGGGAGGACCCCCAGCCCCACTCCCCTGTGCAAGAGACACTTGACTGATCCAAGATTAAAAGCCAGACTGCTGGCGGCTCCTCCCAGCCTCCCCAAGTCTTAACCCTTCCTGGGCCTTCCCGGCCAGACCTGGGGCCCTCCTGCAACTTGATGCCACATCTCTATTTTCTTTAAGGCTTCAGGCAGCACGCACAGATTCTGAGAACCATTCCAGGCAGGACTGGCCACTGAGTTTGGAACCGAAGGCCTTACCCTAAGCGACCAGTATTTCTGGGAAGAGCTTGAAGGACTGACCTTGCAGCTGGGAGAGCCAAGGGCACTTTGCTGCCACTGCTGTGTTGCCAGAGACCAAGCAGCCAGGTGCTGTGGCCGATGGACTCAGAGGTGCTGGTGGTGGGGTGCTAGAACTTTGGGGTTAGGACTTGGGGTCCCTACTCCAAAGGCTACCTTCTGTAAGCACTCACATTCCTGTCCCTCACTCATCTCTATAACTCAGCGCTCATGACTGAAAGTGCAGGCAGCCTTGCCAGGAGGTGATACAGACAGTATTTCTGGACTTGAGGTGCTCCACAGATAGGAATAAGACAAGCCCAACACACTCTGCAGCTCACACTAACACCTTCTGGGTATCTTGGAAGTCAGTGGAGTTGCTTACTTTCTTTACTTACCTTCTGCCTACCTCAACTTTGCCGGAGTTTGGGGCCCCAGGCTGCACACACACGTACTAACACACAGTCTGTGCCTTAGAGGACTGTCAGACTAAGTTTTTGGCTGTTCAGCACCTCAAATGAGGACTTGAGACTACCTTCCACCATCCTCATGGGCCCAACCCTCATCCCAAACCCCCTCCCTCCCACCCAAAGCAGTCGTCTGCCCCAGGCAGAAGGGGCGCATCCCAGGACCTGCCTTGTACAAGCTGAGTGGGTCAGCCTCTTGACTGCCTAAGATCAGTGTGTAGGGCCTATAACCTCGATTAAATCTTGATTTGTTTCCTTTCTACACAAACTCAGCCAGATGCAGGAGGCAAGTGTAACAGCCTGGGTTACACTGTGGGGCTTAGGGAGGTGGCCTTCCCTCCTCGGTGCGATGAAGTGCGTGGCCTTGTGAGGTTCACTCTCCTGAGGGGCTGCATGCCAACCCAGCACGTCGTCTGGCAGCTCTGATAGACAAAGTGCCTGCCTGCCTGCCCAGGGCCGGTAGCAGGTCTATAAACTGCCAAAGACACGCCACTCAAGCTGTGGTGGTGAGCGCGGGTTGGGTCGGGCCTTTAAGGGCACACCACCATCGGGAAGGGGGAGTGTCTTGTTTCCAGATTCTTCCGTATCCATATTTAACAAGTTATCAAACCACCTAGGATCTTGTTTCTCTAAAGCAGAGACTGAAGCGTCGCCAAGTCCACACACCTGTTTTACTGGAGCCACTCGGTATCGGTAATTGGGTGACACACTTTGAAATGGGAGATCTCAAAAATCTGATTTGAAAATTTAAGGACTATGATTTAGCACTGCCAGCTGGGTCCACAAGTGGCAACAATATCCAGAACTAACAGTGCAGCCAGCACTGCCCTCCGGTGCTCTCCAGGTACCCCGGTGCCCTCTAGCTCACCCCCATCTTGTCAGATCATAACCCCTGGAAAGTTTTGGGGCTTGTACCCCTGGCTGCATAAACTGAACATTCTGAAGAGTAGGGAAAAGTGTTTTTCCCATGAAAGTCCATGAGTCTCCTGCAAGTGAAAGCTAGGCTACACAAGGGAAGCTGGGGGCTTGCACCCCAATTCCAGTGAAGGTACTCCCCGACATTCCCACAGATGTGGCCCTGTCCCAGCGTCCTGTGCCTGGGGAATGGGGGGGCTGCTGCAGGGGCCTAGCCAGCAGGCGTACCACGCATGTGCTCTACAGCCCACCCCCAGACTATTCACTGAGCACAAGAGAACACCATCATGGAAGTAAGGCATTTTTACTTGCTTGTGAATTAGGAAACTAAATTACAAAGTAGAATTAGCAAGTAGTAAGATAAAAACACTTTGTATCAAAGCTGTGATTACAAAAATACAAAAGTTAAACCCACAGGTCTAAAGGCAAATGTCAGCATCCAACTTCATCTAAATCCTGGATGCAGGTGAACCCTGGAGGACCAGCACCCCTGGGGGTTATGGGGGTTCAGTGGGATAGACTGTGAGCCCGCCTGGCTTTGATCCAGGTAGGCCTTTGTAGTGCTTCTGGCAGTGTGTTGTGTTGAGTCCCCTCTGGGCAGCGAGTAGCCTAGGCCCTGGGTACTGTGAGACCAGATGGCCTCCCCAGCTATTTTCCAGCTTTCCAGCTCTCGGGAAGTAGGGCCTCCTGACGGCCCGGGCGCTGCTGTGGCCAGGTCACCCGGTCTGAGGGTCGAGCCTGTGGTCACTACAGGCAGTACAGCTAAGCTCTAGGTCTGTTGTTTCCAGTCCTTAGTATCCAAGGGAGAGAGCTGGTCCCAGAGCCTAGGGCCAGTCGTAGGAGAGGGGAGGAGAGGCTGGGTCGGGCCCAGGGACCAGCTCTTGCCCTTCAGAGCTGGGACCAGCACTCAGCAGAAGTCAGGATGAGGAACAGACAGCATGGGAGTGTGTCACTGTACAAAGGCGGCAGAACGAGCCGGGGACCGCCGGGGCTTCTAGGACAGCATGGACTGCTGCACGGCCTTCTGCAGCGACTGCCGAGTCACCAGCAGGCGCACCACCTCCTCCGAGCGCTTGGTGAGCCGTTTCCGGGCCTGGTCATGCGTAACCATGGTCATGTCCCAGCCATTCACCTGGTCCCGGGGGAAAATAGCCCATCTCAGCGCTCTGCTCTGGACATGGAAGCAACAGAGCTGCCACCGTCAGACAGATACCTCCAAGCTGATGTCACCTGGCTGGGAGGCACCAGGCACCACAATTGAAAGAGACAGAGGAGATGGGCCCCTTCCTGGCGGGTAACATCAGCACGGCCTCCAGAATAGCTTCAGTGATCCCCCAGGTGCTCCCAGGAGTGAGGGCTACCCCCATCCCTGACGTGCTTCTGGTCAGATCTTCTGACCCAAACCTATTTCCCTCCTTTGGGACACCCGGTACCTGCATGATCTTGTCTCCAATCTGCAGCCCAGCAATTTCAGCAGGGCCTCCTTCCGATACCCGTGTCACGTAAATGCCCTGGAAAAAGACAACCCAGGTCAAGTCCGGGGGTCAAGTCTGTTCCCCTTCACTGCAGGGCAAACCTCAACCTGGCATAGTCCCAGTCACCCTTCTGTCCCTAGCACAGGCTGTCTCGACAGAGCTAAGGAGAGAAGTAGGAGGCTCCAGCCCCTGACGCTGGCTGCATCACAGGCGGTCTGCACAGACCTTCTTAGGGTTAGGAGAGCCAGTCCTACCTCTACCTCTACCTACTCCCACTAGATCACTTCTTGGACCTGCTCAGGATTATTTGAAAGAAATGAGATCTGTTTCTTCCACCGAGACCCAGGAAGCAGAAATGTACTATCTCAAGCCTTTGTGCCCTGTAGAGAAGTCCCAGGACCCTGGTCCCCTCACCTTGTCTGTCTTGTCTTCAGAGAAAGGATTCTGGGAAGGATCTTGGTCAATCCCACCTCCAATGCTGAAGCCAAGAATTAAGTTCTCACCTTGCCGCAGCTTGTGAATTTCAACTCTTTGCTGGCAAAGAGAAAAAAAATGAGTTGGGAATTAGCAGGTATGTAGAAGGTGAAGCTGTCCCCAGCAGCAGCCCCTAGCCACTGGGCCAGCTCAGAGCCATGCCAAGGGAGTGGCTGCCATGGATGGGGGCCATGTCCCAGGGGACAGACAACAAAGGTAAGAGGGAGCAGGCCCTGAAAAAGAACACTGTCACCTCGCTGAGGCAGCGCAGATTGCTGAGCCTGTTATGGGCAATCAGGAGCTGCGCAGGGAAAGCAGAGGAGATAAACTTGCACAGGAAGGAGAAGGGCTGTAGGTAACAGGAACAGAGGTGAAAAGAGCCGTGGATACATGTTGCCTAGGCCAGAGTATATAGTGCAGTGCCCGAACTAGTTGCTAAGTTTAGGCTAAAGTAAGAGGCTGGGGCTGGATCACAAAGGCTGTGGAGCGTGCAGCCCCAAGGGAAAAGGGTTCTTCCTCAGTGCCAGGCCCTGCTCTTGTGCAGTATAGGAGGCAGGGGAGGGCCCTAGGGCTCTGGCCTTAGCAGCACCCTTCCAGTCAGCAGATGCTGGGAGCCAGGCTGGCTTGCTCGCTGGACCCAAAGGTTGAATTTCAATAAACAGGAAGGAAAAAGGTGAAAGGTGGCCCAATCTGAACCTGAGTGGTGTCAATGAGGGATCATTTACACCAGGTCTGGATGACCAGCAGTTCAGCCACCTGACCTTGGTTCTGGGCCCCAGGAGGCACTTGAGTTAGTGAGAAGGGCTGGGCATGGTCAGGTTTGCTGCTGCAGTGACCACTGAGGCAGACAAAAAAGGAACAGATGTTTCACAGAGGCAGGATGTGAAGACCAAAGGACATGACTGCTTGGAAAGTGAGATCAACAGACAGCAGCACTCTTGGCAGAGAGGAGTCAAGGGGGCACCCACCCTCTCGGCCAGGCGGAACCTACAGGGACCCTGGAAGAAGGCATGTGAAGTTGGAGTGTCAGGAGCCATCCAGGCAAATGTCAGGAAGGCACAGGGACCTGTGGTGCCCGAGTTCAGAGGAGAGGCCAAAATGGCTTAACTACCTGGAGGTGTGGGGAGCAAAGACCAGGGAAGAAGCCTCCCCATCCTATCCCCAATCCAAAACACTAGAGGGAGAGGCCAGACCCCACCATGTTCAGACATGTCCCTAGTATTAGAATTGTGAGGTCATGGTCCTACAGCTTTGAAGAATCTATGGGGGATGGGAAGCAGGAGCTTAACCCTGAGACCCACTGGACCTAGCTGCTCAGGCTCCAAAGTGTGACCCCCTCCAAGCCTGCTCTAGCCCCTCAACATACCCACACCCACACACCTTCCAGGATCTCTGCCCCACCCTCAAGGTCAATATTGGCCCTTGGGCTAGGAGACAAGGCCCAGTCACTGACTTGTTCGGTGAGGTCAGGCAGGGTACCACCCACTCTGGCCTTTCACTTGCACCCTTTCCTTTCTAGGTAAGAAGCAAACCTGGTTTCTCTTCTCTGAGGCAGCTAGTGATCTGGAAAAGCCAGGCTGCTGCATCTAGGGTGAAGTTAGGACAGCTGTCAGCAGGCCCAGCAATGTTTCTCCCTCCTGAGCTGGTGCTCTGTGCTCACCCTCACATGTCACCCCTATCAGCACACAAGTGCCCATCTGAGATACTGCTGCAGCCCCACAGCGCTGGAGCTGGGACGTCCAACATTGCCTGCCTGGCAGGCATTTTTTTCTCATAAACCCAGGTCCTTCCTGCCGGCTTCCACCACAGCGATCAAACTGCGCTCTGGGACTCAGTCTGGCCCCCACCCAGCTGTAGATGTGGTGTTAGATCCCAGCCTCCCTTTGCCTATTTAATAGTGCCTAGCTTCCCAGACAGACCAAGGGGAGAGGCGAGAACCCGATCTGACCCTAGCTAGACACCTGGGTCTCCTCAGGTCCAAAGAGTCAGGGGAACTCTGAACTGTGCTCCACCGGCTAGAGATTCAGAGTAAGTTCGGTGCAGAATCTTATCACCCTGGACCGGACGGTGGTCCAAGGAGGCAAAACTGGACATTAAGAGTAAGGGGCTGCTCGGCTCCCCGAATCTCCCTTTGGGCGGCGGCACCGGCTGGAGCAGAGGAAGCACTTCCTCATTCCAGAGGCTGCGATTCACGGACGTCGGGGCCGGCGCCCGCCCCCCGCGGCTGCCCAGCTGGGAACGCAGGCCAGGAAGGGGGCGCTTTCCCAGACTCCCAGAGTAGGGCCTTCCTCCCCAGTCCTTGGCGGAAAGGAGTCCACCAAAGCAGCGAAAGCGGGCGGGGTCTGGCCGCGACCCAGGCTCACGGGAGGTTCTGGGGTCGCAGCCATCCGTTTCTTGGCTGGAGGGAACCGCGGTCAAAGCCCCAACAGCGGGGACCGGAGCCCTGAACTCCAGTTTGCAGGAGCGCGAGGACCCAGGCTTGGTCAACCTGCTTCGGGTGTCAGTTTACCGCTCTGCAAAGTGGGGGCAAGTCAAGAGGTGGAAGAGCCCACACGAGCGCACTCACCACCACGGCGGTGACCGGCTGGCCCGGGATGTAGGACATCTCGCCCCAATCTGGTAACCAAGTACCGCTCGGTGAAGCCCGCAGCGAAAATCCCCCCCGGCCGCGCCCTCCCAGTTAACAAAGGCAATCTGGCTCGGCCCGCCCCCTTATGAATAATTAACAACCCCTGGCCAATCGCTGGCCGGAGCGCTGTTCGGCTTTCGGCAGTCCCAGTGCGTGTGTAGAAAAACGGGCGGGTGGGAGTACGCGAGGCGCCATAGCGCATGCGCCAGTGGGTGGAGGCGCGGCATTAGCGCATGCGCAGCCTGGGCCATTCCCAGCAGCCTCCGGCCCAAGATGGCGCCGCGGGAATCTCTACCTCTGACTGTCTGAAGGGATAGCGAGGGACTATCTGCCGCCTTGTTCCAGGTAACCGGGCAGGGAATGCAGACATGACGCTGCCCTGCCAACGGCCCGAGCCCTCAGCCTTCTCAGTGTCTGGAGACCCTGAACTGGTGCGAGGTCTCGGAAGCCTCAGGGGGAGGGGGTAGCATGAACCCAATTCTCCAGGCTTCGGCGCCACTTGTAACTTGGTTTTTTCCGTAGTTCCGTGGGAAAGCAGAGGCTGAGCCCGGGCGGGTGCCATGGCAGCTGTGGTGGCCAAGCGGGAAGGGCCGCCGTTCATCAGCGAGGCAGCTGTGCGAGGCAACGCCGCCGTCCTGGATTATTGCCGGACCTCGGTGTCAGCGCTATCCGGGGCTACGGCCGGCATCCTCGGCCTCACCGGCCTTTACGGCTTCATCTTCTACCTGCTTGCCTCCATCCTGCTCTCCCTGCTCTTAATTCTCAAGGCAGGAAGGAGGTGGAACAAATATTTTAAGTCACGAAGACCTCTTTTTACAGGAGGTCTCATCGGAGGCCTCTTCACCTACGTCCTGTTCTGGACATTCCTCTACGGCATGGTGCACGTCTACTGAAATGGGGGCAGAGGTGACTTTTTATAAAAAAGCAGATTGCGAGGACTGATGCCAGAATTTAACACCGGGTAGACTTACTTAGTTTTTAAATTGTTGAGTTCGCTGCTTGTTCTGTAACGTTATGAATAATTTATATCTGAAGAGGAAGAGCCTGTAATATTCTTCGGATTAAATGAAGCGTGAGACACTTTGTGGAGTTTTTTCTACCTTGAGGCATACCTTTCGTTTGCCGTGGGTGCAAAATCTCCAAGTTTTGATTCCTGGAGAGCTGAAACTGGGCCTCAGAGCCAGCCATCTGTAAGGTTCTTGTAGTATGTATAGCCTCTCTAGAGTGAGAGGCTGCTAAGGCCTAAATAAAAATTTTACATCTGAAGAACTAATTGGTTAATATTATGTGTTCCCCACATGCCAGGCATTGTGCCTTGCACCTTTTATACCCTTGTCTTACTCTTATGGTGTCGATCAGATTATTAACCCTTATTGATGCATCTGAGGCTCAGGGAGTCTAAATACCTCTTGCAGAGGAGGCTTTAGCTGGGAAGAGGCAGAGGCAGAATGAATTGCTTAATTGCTATTGTGTATTGGGTGAGTGTATCTTTTCAAAATCCTGCCTTTCTTCCCACTAACCACTTCTTTCAGATATGAATGGCGCCATTTCCATTCTATTTCCCGTAGTTACAAGCAGCTGTGTTTTCCACTAAAAAGTAGCTCTTTTTTCTAGGATTTGTCTAATGCAGACTAAACAGACTGTTTAGATGCTTCACCTAAACTTTTGACTTGTCTCTATATAACCTAGTGCATGACCACTTGCCGGGAGGGTTATCTTAGGGTAAAAATTCATATATTGAAAAATAGAAGTTGACTAGTTCTAGGAATGAACATACTGCTTTTGGAATTTATAGTCTAGTTGGGATGACCAGAATCATCTAATTTCACAGATACTTAAATTATGGTCAGTACCGTGAACACAGAGCATTTGAGAAGCCCAAACATTGCCCAGGTTGGGCAATGGGGGAATGAAAGAGCATTTCTTTGAAGAAATAATACTTGAGACCCAAAGACTGTTGTGGGGATGGGATTACTTACAAGAAAGTGCATGTGTGAAGAGTTGGCAGGAAGGAGTTTGGCCTATATCTGGAGAATTAAAAGAGGCCATAAGGGAAACCTACACCGGCTGGTGGAGGATGGGGCTTTGGCCTTGATCCCAGGAGCAACTGGGAAAAGCCTTTGGAAATTTCTATCAGGAGCTAGACCAGATTTCGGTCTTTTTAAAAGTAATCTGTTTTAGATCAGAAGGGATCTGGAGAGCTCGAATCCACAGCCCCCTTTATAGACAGCAAGTGGACTGTGGACAATAAAGGAAATGGAGCTGGGATCCAGGAATCCCACATCCCCTTTTGGGTTCTGAACCTCGTTTGCACAGGAAGTCAAGCAGCCAGCTCAAGCCACCGCTGACCTCCCACTCCAAATGACCTCAAAACCCTTTGTTTGACTGCTAGTGAAGGTGCTCATGTTTTTGGCTTACACACTCTCCCCTCCCCACCCTCTAGCCCTCTCTGCCTTCTCTGAGTAGGAAAGGAGGGTACATTCCTCAGGCTGAGTAAGAAAAGGGTGGGGAGGGTGTTAAATGAGCACATTAACTTGACCATTCCCCTTTATTGCTAGGCAGTAAGGTTGTGTGAAATGTTCACTATTAAAAATACTGCAATAAATGTCTTTACACCTATCTCATTTTTTAGGAAATTTTTATTGTAGGCGATAAAAACTTGATTTCAAATTCCAGTTTTATCAGATCACACCTTGCATGAAAAATACCAGTTTTATCAGTGTCTTCCTAGTCTTTTAATATTTGCTCATTTAAAATTTTCTATCTTTTGAATTTCTTTATAAGATGTGCCTTTGTTAGGAATATTTTGGTTCCTGATTGCCTCTTATGTCTCTGCTTGGTATTGCCTTCCTATATTTTCCTCCAAAAACTCTTAGTGACCATAATGATATGAAGGCAGAAAAGTCAGAACACATTTAAAGTTAACACCTTTTATTGTTTAATAACCAAATAAAAATACCACAGAATACATCATTGGACAGATTCCAGAACGTGTTTGCCATCCCCTGCCTTTAACTCTGTATCCCCCTAACCCAAGGAGAAACAGCTGGCAGAAAGAGATGTCCTTTGGCAAGTGTTCCCCGGGTCCACTGGTGAGTAGGCTCCCAGGGAGTTGCATCACGTGGAGGGAGGGACAGGTTGGAACCCACCGGAGCCCTTTTCCAGACATGCAAGATGCCATCCAAGTTGGGTGGGGGATTCTTCAGGCACTGCAGACCTTAACTGGGGTGCTTTATCCCTAGAGGTTGTCACACTCCCTCTTTATTATTGTTCCCCCAAGGCACAGCCAGCCACTGAAAAAAGAACCGAGGTGGTGGTGGAGGCGGAAAGGCAACTGTGACTGATCGGTCCTGATGCCCCCTGCATCAGGAGTAGAGGGCACTTTGCTTTTTCATGGTTGGTCCCCATGATGTCACATGGATAGCACCCAATTTGCACATTTCCTGTTGGCCAGCATCTCAGTAAATCCTAGTCAGTAGGAAAATAACACGTAGATGGCTTGAGGCCAGGGCCTGGACATAAGCACAGGAATTCATGTGATCCTGGAATGTCAGCTTGGAAGCGAGCTTGAGGCTGGCATATTCATCTTCCTGATGAGATAACCACTCCTCGAGACAGAAGGCCTTTCCAAAATTGAAGAGCTCGGGTTCCCATTTCTCATTTCAGAGTGAGTTTCTGTAAGATCAGTGACCCTCCCACTAATGCATAAGTGGGGGAGTGCAGTGAGGAGGACTCAGCAAGAGCAAGGAACTTTAGCAACACCATCAGAAGCTATAATGGGGGTCACTGACTTCCTGACCTCTTGCAGTGAGGCCACCTGGAAAGTTTGCTGAACTCAAAACAGCTGTCTTACTGTGGTCAAATTTAATAGGGTGACCCCTAAAGTCAGCCTGATGAATAGAAAGCCTCACAAAACCAGCTCTAGTCACACTGTATCCAGTTCCTTGAAGGCCTCTCTGCCAAAGCACTTTTTCCACAGGTGGTTCCCTTGGCAGGAAGGCTTCTGTGCCTAGTTGGGCTACTACCAACCTTTCGGATTTCCACCGACATGTCACTTCCATGAGAAACCTCTGGCTAAAGCACGCTACTCACTTGCATTAAAAACGCTGAAAGCACCCTACTCAGTGGTGATGTGTATGACCGTTGATCCAGTCAGCTCCCCACTAGATGACCCATGTAGGGGGAGTGCTGTGTTGCCCTCCTGCATCACTGTCATGTAGCCCAACATCTGACTCAATAGGTGCTCAGTAAATATTTGCTGACCAAAGAGCTGTTGGGGAGGGCATATTCAATTCTATATAAAATAGTACGACTGTTCTCAGACTCTACCAGAGCAACTTCTGGGCAACCATCCCCCATTTACTCCCTCCCAAAAGTAACAAGAGTAACATGCATGATCCTCAAATCCAAGGACTTGCTGTAGTGAGGAAGGGAAGGGCCACAGTGGATCACCCAGAATGCAGCAGGTGGGCCATGCTGCCAGGTTACCAGGTGCCAAGGTGAGGGTGTTCCAGGTTCAGGGCTGGGGGCCTCTGTTTATACAGGGATGACTCAGACACGGGAGGGGGAGCCCCTAGCCCAGGACTTATGCATACCCCATCATGTCTCTTTCTGACAGAGGAGACTTGGTCTGGGGTGCAGGTGTGAGGAAAGTTCATTTCTGAGGGAGATTGCCAGGAACCAAGAGGATTTTTGGCAAAACAGGAACCTCTTGAAATTGGTAACACAGTTTGCCAATAAACGGGTATGACACAGGGAAACTCTTCACCATCTATGCTTTGGGGCCTTTTACATTTTGAGTCATAAGTATTACCTAGATGAAATACTCTAAGGAAATGATGCCACTTTGCTGGGGGTAGGGAGGCTCCTCTCCAGGTAGCACCTGTGACCTAGAAACTGGTGTCACCCTCAGAACTAGGACTTTCCATCTCAACCACTGCTTCTCAGATCCAAGCACCGGAGCCACCTGGGAATGTTGAAATGTAGGTTCGGATTCAGGGCTACGGGTGGGACCTGCGGCTGCATTTCTGACAACCCTCAGGTGATGCCGCTGCTGCCTATCCAGGGACCACACCTGGAGCCACTGAAGGAGGGAAGCAGAGTGCTGCAGGGCGTGGGCTGGGGTGGAGGGGGTGAAGGTGACCCTAAAGACTCTCCACCTGCCAGGTGAGCCCCATCAGTTACTGCTTTAATCCTGACTGAGCCTTTGAGGAAAGAGAGAGGCCAGTCGACAGGGACACAGGCGGCCCCCCTGAGCCAGCAGATGCACTGCCATCCAAGACAGGTGCTCTACCCGGAGCTTCACAAGGCTTGCATGCTCCCTTGCCTAGGAGCCCCTGGCCTGCCTCAGCCCTCCAGGGCCTGCTGTCCCCTGGTGTCCTCCTTAACCCTTTAATTTCATCCTTGAGGGCAAGACCAACTACCCCCTTGGATGCTGACCAAAGCCCTTCTCTGAGGAGCCGTCATTCTCCACAGGGATTTGTGAAAGTCTCAGCTGAAGCTGAGGGCCAGAGGGCCTGGGCCAGGCTCTGATGGCCCTGGACCAAAGTCCCTCCCTGAGGGGACTGGTCAACGTCTCATTTAAGCATTTCTTGGATGGGGCTCAGCCCACACAGCACGCAAGAAATGTTTACTGTATATAAGGGAATGAATGTCCAACTAGGTTCTCGGAAAAAAAAAAAAAACACTCCAGAACCACCCAGCTCCTGGCGTGCCCCCTTTCCATGTCCAGGGCCACCTCTCCTAGAACTGAGCCATTCTGGCCACTGGAAGCCTCCCACCCCACACACAAAGAGCTTGTACCAGGATCCCGAAGTGCAGGAGAGATGGCTGTGCCTCAGATCCCCTGTCCATTGCCTCACAAAGGGGACTTTCCAGTTCAGAGCTGGGCTTTCTGCCCCCAAAGTCTTCACCAAATCTCTCAGCCAACACCTCAGGCTAGGCCTCCACTGTCTGCAGGTTCTCCAGCTGCTTCGCATTCACTTTTCCATTCCCCAAATGGCCAAACCTGGGGAGGGTTTGGGGGAGGGAAGGCACACAGAAGAGTTGGGAAGACCTCACTAAAGACAGACCCCACCCTCTGTAGCCTCTGGCTGCACTGCAGGCAGGCAAAGCATTTAGAGAGGCAATGAGTGGCCTGGCAGCAGCCCAGACACAGGTAGATGCTCAGGCTGAGGCTCTAGAGCTCTCTCCCAACAAAGCAAAGCAGCCCCAAGAGAGCAGCAACTATAGTGACACCCCAGGTGAGGCTGTGTCAGACCCACGGGGCACATTCTTCCCCCTAACAGGCTAAGAGCTCAGGCCAGTACCTGACCTGATAGCTCACTGGAGGCTGCGGGGCCTGAGTCCCCCAGGGCATCCTCCAGCCTTCACCACCTCCTCTCCTGGGCCGCTGCAGCCCCCAGCCCCTCCCCCTGGCCTCCCTCACGCCTCTTCATCCCATTCCACTTCTGGCTCCACGCCTGCCCACGTCCAGCCTCCACTTTAGCTGCCAGCCCAGGTGGCAGCGCAGAATGAGAGCCGGGGGTAGAGGAAAGTCTGCCCTAGGCCAGTGAGCTGAAACGCAGTTTATGCAAGAGGACAGTCACAGAACCCTAGTCTGACAGAGCTTGAGGGACCCCTGTGTCCAGCCCTCACTGGGAAAAACAGGAAACAGGATCTTCTTCCCCAGCACTCAATCTGCACTCAGAACCAGGCCTCAGGGCCGGGGCTCAATCTAGGCAGCTAGGCTGGCCTTCAGCCTCTGTTCCAGGTGGTAGTGGCACACCACAGTGCCTGTCGGGAAAACACCATCTGCAGTTCATTCCCAGAGCCTCCAGAAAGCCTTCCCCCCAAAGCTGGATCAGAGCCTCTGGCCCCTTCCTTTCTGTCCACAAACATCAGTATTTCCCCCTGGCACTGTGTTCACCTGGCTTGTACACACACACAGGCTTGGCCAGTCGCCCGCTACAGGGCACACAGCAAAGCAGAGGCAGCGCACGGCTAAGGCAGATTCAGATTGTCACATGAAAAGGAGTTTAGGGAAGTCAGGGCATGGGCGGGGAGGGCCCGGGGATTGGATTAGACAGAATAATTTGGCGCGGAACTGTATTCTACATGCACACTGCCCAGGTTCATATCCCAGCTCTGCCAATTAATAGCTGTGTACGGAGAACAGGGAATGTTAGTGCCCGCCTCACTAAGGGCTGGAAAGAGTTAATGTACAAAGAGCTCAGAGCAGTGCTGGGCAGAGAAAGCCTGAGGCCATGAGAGTGCTGTTACCGTCTTAAGTTGGGATAGCACTGCAAGCTGGCAGGTTTGTGGTTACTTAGGGGTATTAGGGGGCTGGTGGGGATCATGGAAGGGCTGAAGCACCAGCAGCACACACCCCCCCCCCACCCCCTCCCCCCCCCCCCAGAGTTTAGCTGGGATCCAGAGCTCTCCTGGGTCCTCAGTAGCATGCCTTGTGACCAGGTCACCCCAGAGCAGGGAGCAGAGTAGCCAGCTGTGTCTTTCAGGCTGGGTCTTGGCACTCTGCCCAGCAGCCCCTCACCTGGACTCGGGGAGCTGTGGGCACTCGAAGCCAGTCCCCTTCTGGCCACCGCCTCCATCTTGTGCCTCAGGCTGCTCCGGCAGCCCCGATCCCTCCTCCTCATACTCGGCCTCTGGGGTCTCAGCCTGCTGCGAGGACTCTGCCAGCCCATCGAGGACCCCTAGGTCCCTGGGCAGGACACAACCTGTTAACCCTGGCCTTAGGAGCAACCTCCTCCCCTAGACTGGCAGGCGTGGGCCCTGTGGAGTCCCGTGCCTGTAGGAGGCACCCCTTTTCCAGCTACTCAGGCCTGGGGTCCTGCTGAGGCAGGTGACTCAGGCTGAGCTACAGCCCACTGTCCCAGCTTGTGGTGGCTCTGAGGAGCCCCCTGGTGCCCACATCTGCGAGTCCCCGTCCTAGTCCCAGATAGCCCCCCAGGAAGCCTTCCCTCGTGGCTGGCATGGAGGCACTGGACTTTTCCTACCCTCCTAGAAATACAGGAAATACCTGTTCCACCTTCCTGAAATACACACACGCAGCCCAGGAGAACCTGGGAATATGCCCCCTAAAAGCAAACCTGTTTTCCTCCCCTTACCCTCTGCATTTCCTCAACCCTAGCTTTCCAGGACCTCCAGGTCCAAGAATCCTAAAATTAAACTGCGTATGTAAACCGACTCTCTTATTCCAGAGAGAAGTCGAGGGGCAAGGAGACCTGGGACTTATTTGTCCACGTCCTGTGCAGAGACAGTGCCAAACCCGGGCCTGGAAACCAGGTCTCCTGCCCTCGGCCTTTGGCGGCCTTTTCTGCTGCCAGCTTCTCCAAGAAAGAATCCAATTCTATAGAGTCCTTATCCCGAAGTCCCACCTTCCCCTGTCCACCAGCAGAGCACCCTATGGTTTAGCACCCCCATGGTGTACTCCCCACATCCCAGCACCAATATCAAGCCAAAGGAAAGCTTCTAAGCCAGGGAGAAAGCATAACTGACCTTACTTTCTCGTACTTCTTGTCACGGTAAAAGTGGCTTTTTTTGATGAAGTAGATGAGTACCAGGTCACAGAAGAAAGACCCCTGCAATAGAGTTGGGATTCCTGGCTCAGCACCCTAGACTAGAGGCGGCACCCGGACACGTTTACCTTCCACTTACGTGCTCCACAACCCCCGAGGGGTGGGGAAAAGGCGCCAATGAGGCAGCTTTGTCCAAGGCCGTAAGGCCGGACACTGCAGTTAACCTAGCGTCCACCTGAGCCTGTAGTCCAGCACCCGGCAATTACACTGACCCCATCAAGTCACCTCTTCAGCAAATGTTTGCTGAGCTCGCGCCATACGCCAGGTGCTGCGCTGGGGTGAGGGGTGGGTGGGTAAGACAGTGGGACTGTCTGGGGGCTCTCCCTCTGGTGGTGGAGACTGGCATGTTAACTGTGACAGAGCAGCCTGACCTGCCATAGGGAGAGGAGCAGGGAGAAGAGGACTTGACTCAGCCTGGGGAGGGACATCTGGGCTGAGTGTGGAAGGCTGAGCAGGGGCTTATACAAGGGGAAATGCAGGCAGGGCATCTCAAAGGTAGGAGCAAGCTTGGGAAATTCCATAGGGCCTGCAGGAGAGGCAGGTGGGGCCCTGGGACTATGGTCTGAATCCTCCAGAGGAGACACTGAAGGACTGTGAATGGGGCAGTACCCCACCAGAATGGTGGCGTTTTAGAAAGATCCGTCGACAGTCGGCGAGAGAGGTGGGTTGGGAGTGGACTGGGATTGAACAAGACACCACAGCGGTGGTCAAGGGGGCGGGAGCCAACAGTAAAACCACCAGGGGCCGCCCGTAGGAGCCTCAGGCCGGAACCGGTCTCATGCAACGCACATCTTCTCCACCAGAGGGCGCTCTACCCACAGCCCCGAGGGCTCCAAGGGGGCAGGACCAGGCGAGCCTGGTCCTCTGGCGCTGGCCACTCCCCGCCCCAGAAATGTTACTTATCAATTCCTGTTCCATAGAGAACACGCCTCCCAAGCCCAGCCAGCCTCTACCACGGCTTTCCCCATTACCTTCATTACAGGCAAGTCTCCCAGAGGCCCTTGTTCCTATTTTACCCCTACAAGAAACAGATGGCTGAGGGTGGATGGCCCATCGCTAAGAAGGCACAGGTGCCAGCCTGCAGGCTCCCTAACAAGGACGTTTGCAGTAAAGCATTTGGGGCTCACTTGCATGGCCCTCACGTCTGCCATCTCAGGAGGCTGGCTTCTTTGAATCCTGACACGGGACAGGTTTCCTGATGTGAAAAGCCCATCCTAGTCCCTGCCAGAAGCCTCCCACGGAGCTTTTATAGTCACTGGGGCAGAGGATTGAGGGAAGAAGTTGCTAAAAAGCGGCCACTCACTGACAATGACAAGTACAGGACAAAGGGGCATGATGGGGGAAGGGGAAGCCTTCCTCTGCCCTCCAGCTAGCTGTGCTTCCTGGGCCAGGAGCCCCTCTGGGCGAGCTGGAGGCACAGATCTGAGGAAGGATTACACCCAGTTCCTGCCTCTCACCGTTTATCCAGTGGTTCTTGACTGGGGGTGATTTTGCCACCACCTCCCACCCCACCCCTCAGGGGACATTTGACAATGTCAGCAAACATTTGGGGGCACTGCAGCTGGGAGAGGTGGAGTTTCTGGCATCTAGTGAGTAGAGAACTAGGGGTGCTGAAACATCCTACACTGCAAACAAAGACAGCTCCCCCCACCAAAAAAAAGAAGTTTCTGACCCTAAATAACAACAAGGCAAAGGCTGAGAAATACTTAAAAAGAAAAAACAGGTTTAAACAGTTCAGGAGCTGATGCAAGATGCCAGACACCCCGCTGTCTCCCCCAACCCCTGCACCCTTCCTGTCTGTCCCCTGGAGCTCCAGGAAGATGCCTCTCAGGCAGTCACGGCCACCTTGGGGCTGCGGGCGCCTATAGGTTCCAGAAGGCCCTCTTCACCCACACCCCTGCTCATCTCGCCGGCTCTTGTTCTTTCCTGACATGGGGACAGCTACTCTAGGGCAGGTCCCCTCCTCCTGCCCGTGCTACTGCCTGCTCCGAGGGGAAGGGGCAAAGGCGAAGAGATACTCACAATTCCCATGAGCGCCACCCCAGAGCCCACGTTGATGATCGTGGGGATGATGTTGAACTTCCCTGCCTGAAGCACAGAAAGACAGCTGGGGAGGCAGGGGGTCAGGGCCTCCCAGTGACCCCACCCCAACCACCACCTGCCCAGCCTCAGGATGAGAGAACCCCCCCACCCCCCAGCTCCCCCCACACATACCTTGCCAACCACCATCACATCAAAGCGGATCCCATAGGCTTTGATTAGGGTGCGAAACTCCACCCCAGCAGCATCTTGATAATATTTGGCAAACCTGGGGGAGACACAACTCAGGGGAGACCCCAGCTTAGCTGGGCCTTCCCCACTTGGCAGCAGCACACACTCAGCTGCTGTAGCGATGTGCAAGCACTCCCAGGACCCCGATGCAACAGCCCTAGGAGTGGCTCAGACCCTCCTGCTGGCACTACATCAGGACTCACCCAGGCCCTAAAATCCTAGCTGGACAGTCCTCAGATGAAGGACTTCTCACCGCACGGTGGGCCAACCTCTCCCCCTTCAAAGGCCTGTGGGAGCCCACCCAGCAGAAAAGCCAGGCTCCCTGCACCTCCTTGCTGACATCCACCCCCAGATAGGGGTGTCTCAGTGTTGGCACTGTCCCAGGAAAGGACACAAAGGTGGTCAGGTCACAAGGTGCCAGGCCCAGCCCCAGTTACCTGAAGTTATATCCAGAGGAGATGGAATTTTCTGAAAAAGTATCCAGACGATTAAAGGAATAACGAGGGTTGCATTCAGAGGGCGCTTTATCAAGATCACAGTCCCATTCAATCTGAATTCCTATCACACCACCCTTGATGAAAAGGAGGCAAGAAATCAGTGCGCAGAACTCTCTGGCAACAGCCAAAAGTTCAGCATGGAGAAGTGGACAAGATGAGGGCAGTCCAGGGGTACCGACCCGCCTCTGAGTGATTAGTAGCACATCACCACAATGCCCAGCCTGCATCCTCCTACTTCATGCTTCACAGAAGGGGAGCGCCCTCTAGAGGACAGGCTCCTTCCATCAGAGGGGGTTCCTGACTGGGTGTCAGCTGGTGCCCTAAGAATCAAGAGCTGGGCCCTCCCTGGTGGCGCAGCGGGTTAAAGCACAGCACTGGGAAGCTAAAGCCACTTCCGCATGAGTTCGATCCTGCCTGCCCCGGAGGTGACCACATGGCGTGGCAGACCTCTCCTGACCCACCCACTGCTCCCCTCAGCAGTGCACTTCGTCGATCTGCCTGTTCTGCTCCCCACTCTGTCTCTGGTGAATCCTCTCACCGCCCCTGAGCCTCTGGCCTGTACCCCAGTTCTGTATCCATTAAAAAAAAAAAAAAGAGTCGAGAGCAGGGCTGCAGTGCTGAAAGGACCCCTCACTAGTGCCCAAGGCCTCGGTGCAGGCACAGCTGGCCAAGTCACAGCTGGGTCAGGTGACTGCAGGCCAGCCCACCCCCAGGCCCCACCCTCGTTGCGGAGTCCAGCCGAGGGAGGGCTGGGGAGCACATACCACACACCTGCAGCGCTAGCTCCTGGAAGTTGCTCCCCGCCCAGCTGACCATGGACCCCAAGCGGAAGATGGGGCAGTAAGGGTTCTTGAGGTCAAATTGACAGGACTTCAGGAAAGTTCTGTCTTTGGTGTCCAGCACATTGGTCCTGTGTGGAGGCCATGAACAGCCAATGAAATGAAAGTAAGACTTGCTGTTCCCTGGCCAGAGTCACTGGGTCTAGTCTCAAGGGCCAGCCCAGCCCCTTGCCCCTCCCGCTCCCCAGTAGCCAAGCCCCACATACTTGGAGAAGTTAAACTTGGGGAAACGAATGAAATTCTTTATGTAAACGGTGAAATCTTCAGCCTTGCTCAGGAGCAGCTTCCTGAAAACCAAGCCAGGACAGACTGTCCAGGAGGCCCTGCCGCAACCCTCCGGTCCCTCCCCCAGGCCTGGGGCCCCTGGCGCGTTGGCCAAGGACAGTTTGTGTGCTCATGTTGGGGTCCTGAGAATGAGGATTGTCTCCACCAATAGGTTGGACCTACTGCTCAGGCCAGGGATCTGCTTAGGGCCCCGAGGCTAAGACACTCACGTGGGCCTGGACCTGGTCTCCACTGGGCACCAGGCGAAGATCTCACAGGTGCCATTTGGCATATTCTCTGCCCGCAGGCAGCGCCCAGTCCTCACTCCTGCAGAGGTGGCAGGGTCAAAGCCAGGCACGTCCCACTGCAAGCCCCTTTGTTCCCCAGCCCAGGCTGCTCTGGGCCTCACCATTTCCGGTCAGAACAGGCTCCCCAGGAGGGCAGTCGCTGTCCTCATAGCAGGTGGCTCCGGGAATGCTTTCACTCTGCCAGGAAAGAAGGGGAGGGGTGGCAGTTCCCTGCAGGAACCAGATCAGAGCAACGTCCCACCCGAGTTAGGACAAGGGTTCTCCCAGACCCCGCGTCACACCCTGTGGAAACCTGTGTGTCCCCCAAACCATGCAGTTACTACCCAAAGGCACATAGCCCCAGGGCCCTGCCACCCACCCAGCTCTCCGTGCCAAGTCAAACCTCAGCACAGACTTCCTGCCGCTGGTTGGGGGTCACAATCAAGTTGGTGACGATGAAGAAGACATTCTCTCCCTGAAGAACCAGAGAGCGGGTGAGGAACCTCCTGCCTTCTAGGGGACCCTTCCCGTGGCTACCTGGCAGGGGATGGGGCCTCTGCAGGGTATTGGAGATAACAGGGCTCCCGAATTGGTGGATCCCACCACCTGTCCAATGACCTCAGAGTCCTTGAGGCCTCTGGTAGGTCCCGTCCAGGCCCATAACCCCACACTGCCCCCACCCCACAAATCCCTATTCTGACCTTAGTGCTGGAATCCAAGTCCAGAGCTGGGGGAAGGGAAACCATTCTCAGCAGCAGAGGTAATCTAAAGGTGGGGTTCTCTGCCAGGCCCCTGACTCCCACTGACCTACAGGTCCTCTGGGCCCCCTGGTCTCAAGCGCAGGGCTGGTTGGGGACAGTGCAGGACCATAAGGCCCAAAGAGCATGGGGGTTGGTGCGGGGGCAGGATCTGGGCAGGGTCTCTAGCTGCAAATCCTAGGCAAGATGGGCAATGAATAGAGGCCCTGGGGCGGGGCCCTGGGGAGTTTCTCATGTGACCCTCCCCCCATCAGGTCCTGCAGTCTGGGTCCCAATGTCAGACAGGTTCTCAGACCTGGGGTGGGATGACATAGTCCACAACATCCCAGAGCCGCTTCCCAAGCTCCGAGGTGTTGGTGAAGGTCACGCCCTTGACCTTGGTGATGATACTGCTCTGCAGAGAGGTGTCGGTGTCTTGGTAACCCTTCTTCACCAGGAACACCCAGCTGCGGAAGGGACCCAGTAGGCGGGCATCAGGCTCACTGCTGCCCTTGGGGAAGTTTCCCAGACCCAAGGTGGGGTGGAGCCGGGCAGGTCACAACTCCCACGGCTGTGGCAACCTCTCCTGTGAGCAGCAGTAGGGGTGACAAGCAAGCCCAGAGGCAGGAGACGCTGCTCCAAGGAAGGGGGCCCTGCAGTCAGGCAGGCCCAGAAACACCCACGAGCTGGCTGGTGACCTTGGGAGCCAACTCCAGGGTTAGTAATGGGGTGAAGGCGCCTCCCTCCTGGGGGTGGGAGGAAGGGGTGCATAATCTGAAACTAGTCTTTGGGGGACCTCAGACTAAACCAAAGAGGAACATTCTACAAAATGTGGGACTACACAATCCTGATGGACTTTGTCAGAACTAAGTACTTTTGTGCCTTAGAGGAAACTAAGAAAGTGAAAACCCACAGGATGGGAGGTGATATTTGCATATCATGTAACTGAGAAGAGCGTAGTAGCCAAAATACAGAAAGAACTCTCCCAACTTAACATTGAAGAGACAACTCAACTGTAAATGGGACCAAGGATTTGAATAGACGGTTCTCAGAAACAAAATAGAAAAACCTATCCAAATGACTAATCAGCACATGAAGAGACTCAACACCACTTGTCTCTTTGGTTTATATTGTACGGGAATACAAGCCAAAACCAGCAGGAAATACTACTACACACAGACAACGACACCGCTAACAGTCAGCCTCGTCCACGGCTGACGAGGATGTAAAATGTGGCTGCCGCTGGAAAGTCTGGTAGCTCCTCAGAAGGTGGGCACCCAGCAACTGCATACCTGTGTCTATCCCAAGAGGAATGAAGACGGGATCCCCAAAAAGCTGGACATGAATGCTTTTAGGACCATTATTCCTAACAGGTAAAATGCAGAGACAGTCCAAACGCCCAAGGGTGTCACTGTGGGGCACTTAGGTCAGGAAGGAAAGACTGAACCAGAGAGGCCATGGAGAAGCCTGCCAGGTCCGTGTGGAGGACAGAGAAGGGCCATGTAATGTGTGATTCAGTTCATCTCATACCCAGAACAGGTAACTCCACAGAGACGGAGAAGCCCATGGCAGGAGGGGAGAAGTAGGAATGACTGTTAGTGCTTTTTGGGGGGTTGGTGGAACTGTTCTGGAGTTAGAGTGGCAATGGTTGTACCACACGTAAATGTACTAACAACCACTCAACGGAATCATTTATATGGTCTAATGTTGGTTATATGTGTGAGAATTATTTCAGTTTTAAAATGGTTTTCAAAAATTTCCTGTATTTTGAAAATAATGTCAACATCTTGAATACAAAGACAGACTCAGGAAAAATTCCAGATTAAAGAGGACATGAGAACTGAATGTAAGGCATGATTTCAGATTTTTTTTTATAAAGATAACTAGTGGGGGCAATTTATAAAAAAATTTATAGTTTAGATAATATTATGCCATAGTTAACTACCTAGTTTTCATACTTATACCTGGCCAAATACCCTCTTATTTACACACCTATTTAGAAGTAAAGGGCATCATCTCTTCAGCTTGGCCTTGACAGTAAAAAATGCACATATGTCATGGAATATTACTCAGCAATCAAAAAAGATAAACACATGCCTTTTTCAGCAACATGGGTGGCACTGGAAGGGATCATGCTTAGTGAAATAAGCCAGAAAGAAAAAGAAAAAGAATGGATGGTTTCACTCATAGCAGGAGCATAAAGGAGCAGGGGGGCGGAAATAATAATAATGAACAGTTATATACCAGAGACATTTTATGGGAGTGGAATGGGATCAAAACTGGAGTGGGGGGCTAGTGCACGGGACTGTAGTGACAGCACACGGGTGAATTGGTGTTGGGAAGCCCACAGGGATTACAACTGAGATGGAAAAGGGCACAAAATGATGTAAAAATAAACTATTCTAATAACAAAAAATGCACATATGTCTGGGTGAGGGAGGGGGTGAGAGAAAGGGAGAAAACCCAAATGTTGGAAAATGTTAACATTTGGGGAATCTAAGTGAAAGGAATAAAATGTTTTTGTACTATTCTTTTATAACTTTTCTGTAAGTCTAAAATTACATTAAAACAACAAATTGTGTAATGAGATCACACGTAAATTGCTTAGCATCAGAAGCACCTGACACAGAGCAAGGCTCAAGCAATGCAAGTCATCCTCTTACTGTGGGAGAGTAACTGGTAAAGCTGGGGAGACTGGGGCCAGGAATTTGCCTGCCTGAGGTCATGCAGTAGTGGTGTGGGGTGCCAGGGTTCTCTGTACAGGGAATGCGCACCAGGATGCTTCCCCCTCCTCAGCTGTGGGTGCTGAGCTGGTATGTCCTAGACACCCCCATCTCTAAAGCACTCTAGGGTACTGTGCCATTTGAGTCAACCACTCAACAACATGCATTCACTCACTCATTCAGTTCATACCTAATCGCTAAGCATTTGCTAAGCACTAAGCTCCCCCAGTGACACCAGGCCCCCAAACTGGCAGGGAGTCAGCTGTGAGCATTAAGTGATTCCACAATAAGCATGTAATTACCCTGTGGGAATGCCTAGGAGGAAGAGGAGAGGGAGCCATGGAGAACCCAGGTGTGAGGGATGAATGGGCGCTAACCAAGTGGAGGAGGAAAGGTCCACCTTGCTGAGAGACAGCCAGGTACCTTAGGGATGAAGCCCATGGTGTGCTGGCCTTGGCCTGCAGGCCGGGGAGAGGGACGGGACGGCAGGGCTGCCCTCCCAGTCAGGAACAATGACTCAACTGGCATTTACTAAGGGTGCAAAACAGGCACAGCAGCATCCCAGAGACCTGGAGTCATTACTCCCTCCTCAGGGGAAGACTCTGCCGGGCTGAGCAACCCAAGGAACTGCTCCTTCAGCTGATGACCCAACTCTGGCTAGGGTGCGGGTGCGGGCGGTGGGTAGATGATGAAGCTGGGTGTGAGGGGGGGAGGGGCCCTAGGCAGGACCCCACCTGGATACCAGAGAGGCCAGCCAGTGGGAGGGCAAGCTGACCAGAGGGAGCTCTGGAACATGCCAGGCTCATGAATTGCCCCAGCGCGAAGTTTGGCACTGAGCTCATGATTATAAATAACTTAGCCGGTGCTTGGGCCAGCACCAGGCCAAGGCCCAGGGGCACTCCTGGGGCACAGCTGCAGCCCACCCCTGCATCCTTGCTCCCTTCCCACAGCCCTAACGCTGGGGGCGCCAGCCCTAGAAGAAAGAGCTGACCAGGGAAAGCCTCATAAATCAGGGACCCAAAAGCCACTGCTCGCATCTCATCACCTCCATTGGGACTCTCTCCTTGTCCCCCGCCCTGACAAGGGCCCGAGGAGGGACCCCTCCCCAAGCAGAGCCATCAGCCCAACCGCCGGGAGCCCGAGCACACCCCGCCAATTCCCCAGCTGCGCCGGCGCCCCCCTCCCGCCGAGGCCGGAGGACTCACATCACCAAGTACGCCAGGATGGCGAGCTGCACCAGCCGGTAGAGCAGGCCCACCTTCTTGTTCTTGGCGATGACGTACTTTTCGGTCTTGTAGTCGAAGATCGACTGGTAGAGCCCCTTGCAGCCCGCCTGCCCCATGGTGCAGTCTCACCTGGGCGCGCGGAGCGCGCGGCCACACGTGCCC